ACCTCCACCCGCCAAGCGTGCTGTGCACCGTTCTCCCCCACCACGCAAGCTGTTTGGAAACTCCCCCAAGCGTCACCATTCTCCTCCGCCTCCAATGCGCCTCAGGTCTCCACCACCTACACGTCGCGGCTCCGTCAACCCTGTGAACATGACCACACGTCAACGCAGCGACACTTCCATCCGCTTCGCCGGCATCGCCGAGCGCCCTGCACCAACAGTCTCAGCCTCTGTCCCACGCACCCCCATCACCATGAGGAATCCATTCGACCTCGACGAGGACGAAGACGCCGACGGCTCCGACATGCCCATCCGCCGCGCCATCGACATCAAAGTCGGGCTCGAGAAGAAGAGGCAACGTCGCAAGGAGAAGCTGTACCGCAAGCAACACCGCAAAGGTGCCAAGGAGAAGCGTCCCGCTCCTGGTCGCGGTGCAGAACGCATGCGCGAGATGGGACTCGCGGTACACGCTCACAAAGGCAAGACAAATGCCTTTCAACCGTTTGGTATCCGCAAAGATGCGGATGAGGAGGATATGCATGTTTTGTCGGCGTAGACGACAGACGTGTTGTACAAGTGAGGATCAGCGCCGCCGTATACTTTCGGCAATTTTACATGTTCCCTGCAGTCTGTTGTAGGGCTTGTTGGTCGCTGATCCCACTTCTTTCGCTCGCGTCGGGTCTAGCTTGAGTGAAGCAGACAGACAACGCAGCGATTTCAACTTCTTAGGCCCTTGTTTTTCCCTTCTTTGCCTACTTACCTTCTTTGCCTACTTACCTTCTTTTCCGAGCTTCTTTCACTACTTCAGGCTTCTCATGTACATAGCCTTTTTATCTATATTTTGGTCAAAGACCTTGGTGTGGCTTCTTCATGTTATATGGTTTTAGTGTCTCTTTTGTTTTTGACTATTGCATCTAGGAGTCACGCATAGCATTGATGGCCTCCTCGTAAGGTATAGCGGGTTGAGCGCCGGTTGGGGAGTTTGTGGATGCATTGTATGGAATGCGAATATCCCATGAACTGAATATCGTGCCACTGATCAAATCTTCTTCTGCCACGTTCGACTGCATGTCCATCACCATCATAAAGCCGACGTCCTCATATCTGTCATGACTCTCGTATGCTCCACCCATCACACACAACATGGTTCGATGATGTAAGGGGTACTCCACACCGGCACTTGCGCAGATGCAGACGTGCAACGGGTGACCCACTACCCACGAGTGTGACAACCATGGAACTGAACCACGACCCACAAACGCAGAAGAATTTAATGCCCGATGGATCAACACCTGCTTTGACGTCGGTTACATTTCAACTGCCGCAGGACGCTACTGGCCAAGTATGCGTAGAAATTGTATGCGCTATGCGAACACATACGCGTCCTACCGTATTAACTTGTATACTTGTTTGAAGCTAAATAGGTGCATCTGCATGCGCTCGCAGTATAATGTAATGATGATACGAAGACTATTGCCCTAGTCAATAGTCTCGACAATACACCTAGACACGTTTGAAGCAGGTGGCTTGAATGACATCAAGGAAATGCAGGTGGGTCGCGTGCGCCACCTAACTGGATTGGGCTGGCAGGTGCTAGAGGCCGCGCGTGCTTCAACAGTTCCAAGGGTAGCGCGCGCAGGGTCGCATCTCACGACGGATGCAGTGCGGTTGTGCTGGTATACTGTGATAGTTGCACCCTGAGTTGCACGGGGGGCCTGAAGTTGATAGACGAGGATCCTATGCTCGTATTCGCATCCTGCAGCGGGTGCAGCCGAATGCTTGATATGCGACTGACAACGCGTGGGGAAGGCGGGGCGTGTGTGGTGGAGGTCATTTGTACAGTACTGTATGCAGTTGTAGTCTATATTCTTCTTGTTTTCGCACTCGAGGTTAGAGTATCTGCTTGCGAACAGTCTGGAGATATAGTGTTGAGGTAACGACGAGGAGGCGTCGGTACCTTCTCGCCCCTGTCATACGTACTACTGTAATGTACTAAGCGTTGACCGATCTAAATATCCCGCCGCGCACTGCACTCCGCAACGCCCTCACCGTATCTCCCATTGGGGGCAACCCGTCTTGTCCATCACCATGCCAACTCCACCGTGAAGCGTCTATCGTCATTCCTCCCGCCGGCTGTCCCCATCGCCGCCCCTCTTCTTTTTTCACAACCGTCTTTGGAACCCTTCACCTCTGCCAGTCGCGTGCCGACCCTCGTTCCTCGTCGACGCCGTCATAGCGCTTCGCTTCCCTTTCACTTGTACATATTCATATTGGTAGTGTCGCCATCCATGTCGCCTCCAGCCACGCTCCGAAGCTCCCCAATTTCGATAATATAGACACGCGCGACCGACTTCGCTCGCGTGACCGTCCACGCTACCCGCACCCCCCATCGTCGCTCCGGTTCACGTCGCCCGGATCCCGCTAGCACCCATGCTCATGAAGAAGATGTGGATAGTGGAGGAGCGGAAGGACAAGACTGTATACCGTCGCCGCTGTCCGACTGGCGGAGAAGTCCTCTCCTTCTTCTTCGTCTCGGCATGCGCCCTGCTCTTCCTCATCATCTGCACCATTCTCTACGGCACGCGCACACAGAACCCTTCTTTGCCCCCGCTGGTCAAGGAGTACATGCCCGCCGGCCGTTGCTTATGCGAGTTCAGTACCACGTTCTCATGCGACACTTGTCTGGATTGCGCTGCAAACCAGGCTATTCTCACGACTAATGCGACCGAGTTGGAGGAAAATGGACTGTGGACTTTTACGTATCCAAGGGATAAGAATAATTATGGGCTTGATGAAGCGCAGTGCGATAGCGCTTTTCCGGGGCAATATGAGGATATTGAGCGTGCGGTTAAGGTGCGGAGTCGCTGGGGCAAGGTGACGCAGGCGGATCTCAATAGCTTTGAGCTTACCAAGGGGATGGTGAGGGCTATGGTTTATGATAGAGAGGTTTGTTGAGTCCCGGATAATTGGCAAGTGCTGAGCACATGCTAACGTACAACAGCTCTACATCCTCGAGACTCACATGGTCGATAACGTCAACCGCCAAAAAGCCATTGCAACTCTCAGCGCCATATACCGCGCCGTTCTCGCCGCCCCCTCAACCGCCGATATTCCAAACATCGAATTCGTCTTCTCCGTAGAGGACCTCCCTGCGCAACCCCACAAACCGATATGGTCCCTCACCCGCCGCGTCCAAGACCACAACCTCTGGTTAATACCCGACTTTGGGTTTTGGAGCTGGGACATGCCCGCGCTGGGCACACTGGACGAAGTTGCTCAAGAGGCGGTTCAAAGGGAAGCCGTCGAGTCGTGGGACCAAAAGATCGAGAAGCTGGTCTGGAGAGGCAAAATCACTTTCGCGCCTAAGCTGCGGAGAGCGCTCCTCGATGCAGCAAAAGGCAAGCCATGGAGTGATGTAGGCCAACTCAAATGGACGGATCCAAATTTCAAAGAGCAGTTTCTCGGTCCGGTGGATCAGTGTAATTACATGTTCATTGCTCACGCCGAAGGTATTATACCCCCAACCACTAACAGATTTCTGCATACTAACAATCCCCCCTCAGGACGTTCCTACTCCGGCTCCCTCAAATACCGCCAACTCTGCCGCTCAGTAATCGTCTCGCACAAACTCCAATGGATACAACACCACCACTACCTCTTCCGCTCGAACGGCTCCAACCAGAACTTCGTCGAGGTCGAACGCGACTTTTCGGATCTAGCATCCGCTATGGAAGATCTGCTCGATCACCCTGAAAAGGCGAAGCGCATAGCAGATAACTCGGTGCAGGTATTCAGGGAGAGGTATCTCACGCAAGCGGCGGAAGCGTGTTATTGGCGCAAGCTCATGAAGAGGTGGAGGGATGTGGTTGATTGGGAACCGGTGTTGTTTGCTGGGAGTGGGGAGGATGGGATCGCGAAAGAGAGGAATAGGGTGAGGAGGAGGGGGGTAAGGTATGAGACGTTCATGTAAGTTGCCTCGATCTCAAGTAAAAAGTGAAGATTCGGTTGGCTAACAAACCTGACAGGCTTTACGAACCCAAAATCCAACTTTCGTACCCGGAATCGGCGCATTGAGCTTGAGTCTCAGACTCGCTCGCACAATTATATAGCAGCTGACCTTGTTTGGCCGGTGTTACATCTTCTGGAGTATAGGAGGGATAGCTATTTGAGAGCGTTTATACCCCTTTCGCGTTTGCGAATTTTGTTTACTTGTTTGGCCGATGGGGGTTTCTAGAAGAGGGAAGTAAAAGCGATGTTAACTGGTTACGATACTATGTAGAGTAATGCGTAATATAGCATTGATTCAAACATAACTAGTTCACATGCATGAGATCTGAACTTATCGGCGTGTATCTTATGTGATAGTCTTATGACGTGATACAGACGGCTACAGTACCGTTTCAGAGCTGTTGAATCTGCGACACATGGTAAAAGACATCTCACACTTGAAAGGAGTGCAGACACGTGAAAGAGGGAGTTGAATAAATGTAACGTTTTGTTATTGATACAAGATCTCGTAGACCGTCAGTGCTATTCCCAGACCATCTATATGTATTCCCTGCTTGGCTGTTCCAACGATCCTGACTGTCCCCCAGCCATCGTGTGTGTGGTGTTGGCCCGTGTCTCCCAACGGTCCCCATGAAGGTGGTCGAAGTGCGGGATAACACGATGCAAAGTGCAGGAGCGTGTGTATGGAGACAGATCAAAAAGCCTCTTGGATGGTCTGGGAGGGGTACTGCGCTGTGTTGGCCTCTCCAGAGACGGAAGTAGAGTCCAAAAAGGGCAGTGCGGATGATGATGTTCTCGGATACGCCTGTCCAGGACGATGGCCGATGGTAGGTGTGGGTGGGTAGCAAGGAGCTCGGTCGAGCGTTTCTCGGCCGTTGTCTTGCTGCTCGTGGGGGATGTGAGTACTGGAAGTCGTGCGCTTCGAAGGAACCTCGTAGTAAACATCTAGCCGTGGTCTTGTGATCAGACCGGATAGTCAATCATATCGAATCCCCTCAAGAGTAGTCGGTAGGCATCCTCCTCGTCTCGGCCTTGACTTCCGCAGTCAGGGCCTCGACCTCAGCCGTCAGAGCGTCGAACTCGGCTCTGAGAGCCTTTTCGTCGCCCTCCAGCATGATAGCTCCAGTCCTCGAGAAGAACCTGTGCCAGATATTAGTATGTGCGTCTCTTTCACACAAGCTGTCAGCAACCCACCTCATCCACACCCACTCCCCCGCAACCCAAACCATCGTAGCCAACATAAACAGCCCCAGCACCGTCCCCACATAATGCACCTCCTGCTCGACGCCTCCCCTCCCCCTCCCACTCACCCCGTCAACCTCTTGTCCAAACCCACAAACAACCCTATTCTCACTCGTGACCCCGCTGCTCGGATCCAGGGGACTAACCTCCCCTCCCTCATGCATACTCTGCAGCAGATTGAGCGGGAGGGGCTTGGGAATGGCGAGTAAGGTGTCCATGGTGGTTTGGCTGGCGAATTGGATGGGCAGCGCGTTGGTGATGGAGAGGGAGAAGGCGGCTTCCCAGTCTAGAGTGAGCAGCTCTTGGTAGGAACATGGGGTTGGGGTGCGGCTGGTGGAGAAGGTGAGACAGCGGCATTGGAGGTCTTCTAGTTGGGGTGTAGGCTGAGGCTGTGTTGGTGCGGCAAGAGATACGCTGGTGAGGGCCATGATGGTAAGGAGGAGGGGGATTCGTCGGTTGGACGACATGGTTGTTGTAGTGGTGTGCTTGGTGGGTTGGATCTTTGTTGCGGTTGAAATCGCAGGCGTTGAATCTGGGCGAAACGAGGAAACCCAACGACTCTAGATTCGCAGCGGCGGAGCGGAGAAACCTCACGATATAGAGTCAACCTGCTGCTTTGGGTTGGAGGTAATATGGTCCAAGAGCTATGCGCAGCAATCTAGACCCTCGTTAGCGCAAGCCCTCACTCTCGTATATCTGCTCCTCTTGATTAAGCGAACAGACAACACCCTTAATCATCAACTCACCAATGAATATATCTGCGTACCTCGAAGTAACAATCGTCGTGAGCCACATGTGCAGTCGAGGGGGCGACAGAAGTGGCTTATGAACCCGTTCGAAACAAGCGTGGGTATGAGCGTTGGAACCAGGGCATGTATGCGCAAGCTTGCATTCACCCTCGCGTGGCGCTAAACCTCGGTAACTTAACTGGGGGCGCCCAGATGTGAGTGAATTCCACACACACCCGTGGACGAGCTCAGGACCCTTGCAGCGATCCTGACTTTCCGCAGGCACAATTCAAGTCTCACGAACAGATTTCACGCGTGCATGAGCGGCCGCCGGAACGGTGGTCATCCTATACGCCGGCTCCGGCGAGCCAATAGCTCCGATACATAGTCACATTCCAGCTTCAAGACCGTCTCCAGAAGGAACACCGGTACGGTGTCGTCGCACGCGCTATTGTTTTACTCGTTTCGTGAGAGGAGGATAGTGCCGGTGATAATTGCCTAGCTCAGCCACACGTTTCTGTGCACGTTGCGAGGGATGTAGGCGGATTGGTCCCTGATCGACTGGTTTGCGGCCGGGATGGGGTTAGTGCGTAAGCTCTCCGCGTCTGTGCTTGTGGCTTGAATCGACGCGCTGGCGTCAAAAAGGGCTGATGATGCGCGAAACAAATCTGGAAGGTTACGAGAGTGGTTTGGGGGGTCCCTGGGGATCGTGCTACAGTGTCAAAGCCGGGATTGGGTGGCTGAGTGTGCCCGGTCGTGAGATGTTGCCTGATGTCTTGCTCGAGGGGGATTGTCTGCTGCGTGCAACCGATGCCACGAAAGCAAAGTGGTGCAGGTATGCCCATGTATGCAAGCTAAGCAGCAAATCGCCTGATCAAAAAGTCCCATCTCCAAGCTGATAGGAGCAACGACTCCCCGATCGTCACCAGCCATGATACCAAGCTTTCCTAGACACCTGTCAAAACGATACCAAGCATTCTCAAAAAAGCTTATCCCTCCACAAACCCTGACGCGCAAGCCACGATATTCCCGGCTCTCAGACCATGCAGCCCTTCAAAATCCCTCACCCCCTCTCCCTGTCCGGACGCAACGTGCCTCCCGAAAGCCTAATTAGTTTCGAAACCGACCCTACCCTACCTATCACAGCCGCCGCAGCGTATATCGGACATTTAGACCTGCGTCCATAACACCGCGGACCGGCGTAGACTCCGAAAGTCCAGTTCGCGAATAATTACAATTCTGGCGTGAGTGCGTTTGGGTACACGAGATGGCTAGCGGGGCAAGCGCCGATCGTGGTGCTGGGTTAGTGGCTGAGGTGACGACGCAAAAAGAGGCGCAGGTTTGTGGTTCATTTCTGATCGAGCCGGTGTGTTAGGCGTGCTGGATAGGGCCGTTGGGTAACCAGATGGGGAGCTTGGTAATTCGGTGGGTTTGGGGTGAGATAGCGTGGATGATTAAGTACTAACGACCATTTTCACATACGGTACATACGACTTGAACATGGCAACGTGGAAAAGACTTGCATGTCTACCGCAAAATGCCTCATAAAGCATTTCGCTAGCCTTTACGTCCACGGGTAGCTCCTCCTCTTTTTCCCTTACCCTCCTCCCATACCACCACCAGCATCATCACTACCACCCTTTCCCCACCCTCTCATCCCATCACCTCAATCTCTAGACCCAACTACACCCCCTCCATCAAACCCCATCAAAACAAGACCAACCCCCGAACTCAGGTCCCAAACCTAGTCCCGCAACACCCGTATACCGCGTATAATATATCCACCGCAGAAGGAGCGGATTCGGCGTTATTTCTCCAAAGTGATCAGCGCGAGGTTTCGTGCCAATTGTGGCTTGTTTCCAAGCGAGGGCGGGCGGGTGAGCGTTAGTTAGGCTGTGCAACACAACGCCGTTTCTGCCGGTGGGTTTGGAATATGGCCGTTGGGTTCTATTGTGAGATAGGGGGACATGCGCCTGCATACCTACGCGCTCTCTCTTTGTTTGGAGCATTAGAACAGCTTTGGGAAGGCGTAGAGGAGATGTTGGTAAGCTAACAGTACTGTAATGATGACAACAATTTACATAGACATACATGCGATAATATCAGGTTTCCTTGCTATCCCCCTCCGCCATGCACGGAATCTGCTTTCAACCCCTCCTCCTCAACAACATCAGCCTTCACGTTCGCTTCCCCTTCTCCTCCTTCTTCGCGCACGCCATCGCCCTCTTTGGCGTCTTCTTCTTTAGTTTTCTCTTCCTGTCCCACCTCCAACTCCTCCACATCCTCATCTTCCTCATCACCCTCCTCAACCCCCACCAACCACCTCTCAACCTTGCACCTTCATTTCTCCTTGTCCTCTCCATACCCTGTAATCCCGCCCAGCAGGCCACCTACACCCTTTCCTACACCACCCAGTGTACTGCCTACGCCACCAATCACATCGCCCTTGCCGAGCTTACTAACGCCGTCGCCGACGCCGCTGGTGATGCCGCCAACAGCGTTGTTAGCACCTTTGCCTACGTTGCCGACGACGCCGCCGACAGGGCCGCCGACAGTGTTACCCAGGCCAGCGAGACCGTCGCCGACGGTGTTGCCGACGCCTTTGCCTACGCCTGTTACTGTGTTGCCTGTGGAGGTGTGTTAGTAGGGGCGTTCAGACATATACGACAAGCGCATATCGACGTAGCGAAGTAAGAGCATGAGATAGGAAAAAGGGGAACATACCAACACCACTGCTCGCCCCAGCAACAGTCCCCTTCGCATCACCCCTACCAATCGCCCCCGTCGTCTTACTAACCGTGCCCTGCAGCCCCTTGGTCGCAGACCCAACCGTATAATACGCGTTATCCACCGCGCCCGTCGCCGTCTTACCCACATTATCAGTTACATGCTTGACCGGCTTGCCCACACCACCCGGCAACTTATCAAGGCCCTTGCCCGCATACCCCGTCACGCCACCAACCGTATTATTCACACCCGTAGTCACAGAATCGGTAACGGTGTTCAAACCCCCCGTCGTCGTCCCAACAGTCTTGTTCAGCGTGCCCGTAGCCGTGTTAACACTTTTACCCACGATACCCGGCTGTTTCTTCGCGGTAGCGATGGTAGACTGGGGGGTAGGTTGGCCTGGAGCGGGATGAGCTAGTATTACGTCAAGAGGGGTTGGGTAAGTACCGTCGATGTTTACTTTGGTGGGCGCTGTGCCGTCGGGGTTTACCTTGGTGGGTGTGCGCTTGACGGGGCTTGCTTTCGCTGCCGGAGTGGTCTTTGCTGCGGGCGTCGATGCAGCCGTCGCTGTCTTCTTCACGGGCGCTTTGCTGACTGCGCTTGCGGGCTGCGATTGCGCGGCACCGGTTGTGGGGTTCTTGCGTATGGGCAGCGGCTTTGTGGTGCCGAGGGGGGTGCGTTGGCGGGCGGGCTTGGAGGCTTCGCTGACGGGTGTTTTGCCTGTCGTGACGGGCGTTTTCTTTACGGGTGTGGTGGTAGAGGCGGGCTTGCTTGCTGAAGCAGCGGTTACCGGCTTCTTTACTGGTGTTGAGGATGCTGCTGGGGTCGCTTTCACGGGCGTGGTCTTTGCTGGAGTTGAAGCCGACGCGCCGGCTGCATTGAGCTTCCGCGGTACTCTCTTTACTGGTGCAGCAGCTGATCCTGCGGTATCCGTAGCTGTCGCAACAGGCTTCTTCACAGGGGTAGCTTTAGTAGCCGACGTCGCTGTCTTTGCCGGAGTCGTAGAAGCCGGCTTCGTCGCGGTCGATCCAGCGACTTTGGAAATGTTTCCAACACTTGCTGAGCGCGCATTAGTCCCCGTCTTTTACATCATCTACCAACATACATTGCAGCGCAGCATTCTGCTGCTTGAGTTGGTCCACGGCCGACATATCGAAATAACAACAATGTAAGCTTTAGGAAGTTGGTGCTGGAACGTCAAGGTATCGTAATGACAGCGAAAAGGGAGGACAGAATCTAGTAGTCTATGGTCCTGTACCAAGAAACCGCGTTCTAGACATCTTGAACGCGGCTCCGTCCTACGTCATGCACGCTCCTCATCCCTGCTGTTGTGGAGGTACGAAACGGCCCAGGCTTGTGGAGATTCCTGTTTTTCGGACACGGGACGATCGCCGTTGCATGGGTTGGACCCTGACGTTGTGAGATGCGTCGCAACACCAAACTGGCATCTGTCAAATCTGACATCTTTCAAACAGGGCGCACAGTTAGTGAGGGATGACGGAAAAATGTGAGTAGTCTTGAGACGGTCGGTGGCTAGCTGGTATGGTGGACTACGCCCAGCCGCGTCGACCAGCAAGGCTGTGAATCAACACCACAAAAGCAAAAGCAACATCAAAAGCACAGTCAAGATTGTTTGAACATTTCATCATTCATGAAAACTACCCAGAGGCAAGTCTACGTAAGATACATTTCGGGATATCCATTACTCGTGATGCATAAAGTACCACCACTCTAAGACGCCATCGAAGATTAAGCTTCGTGTTACCATGCAAGTGAGGTGTAGAAAGTGAAAGAAAGCCATGACACATGAAAGGGATATCAGAGCGCCGACCAAACTTTTCAAAACCAGTCAAGACGGGCGATGCGCTTAGTCGACCTCCTCCATGGCGCTCTCGCCAGCCGCTGCGGGTGCCTCGGCGGCTTCGGTCTTCTCTTGCTCGGTCTCGACCTCCTCGTCGACGTTCAGGCCGAGGGAGACAAGCTTGTGGATGCGCTCAGCGTACTGGACGGGCTCGTCAATGGTGAAACCAGAGACAAGGAGCGAGGTCTCGAAGAGAAGCAGGGTGATGGACTTGACGGTGCGGTCATCCTCACCATCGGCCTCGACCTTGCGCTTCAGCTCCTTGATGATGGCGGACTTGGGTGAGATCTCGAAAGTCTTCTTGGAAGACATGTACGAGCTCATGGAGGTGTCACGGAGAGCCTGGGCCTTCATGATACGCTCCATGTTGGCTGACCAACCGAACTGGCCGGTACGGATAGCGCAAGGTGAGCCGACAAGCTTGTGGGAGACGACAACCTTCTCGACCTTGTCACCGAGGACAGTCTTGAGGCTCTTGGCGAGACCCTCGAACTCCTTCTCCTCAGCCTCACGCTCCTTCTTCTCCTCCTCGGACTCCTCAAGCTCGAAGTCCTTGGTGATGTCGACGAGCTTCTTGCCGTCGAACTCCTTGAGCTGAGTCATGGCGTACTCGTCAATGGGGTCAACAAGGAAGAGAACCTCGAAGCCCTTGTCCTTGAGGGTGTCGAGGAAGGGCGACTTCTGGACAGCCTTGAGCGACTCGCCAGTGATGTAGTACATCTGCTTCTGGTGCTCAGGCATGCGGGTGACGTAGTCGGTAAGCGAGGTCTGCTCCTCACCAGACTTGGTGGAGTTGAAGCGGAGCAGCTTGGCGAGGGAAGCGCGGTTCTGCGAGTCCTCGTGGATACCGAGCTTGATGTTCTTGCCGAAGGCAGAGTAGAACTTGTCGAACTGCTCACGGTCCTCAGCGATCTCGTTGAAGAGCTCGAGGGTCTTCTTGACGATGTTCTTGCGGATGACCTTCATGATCTTGTTCTGCTGGAGGGTCTCACGGGACAGGTTGAGGGGAAGGTCCTCAGAGTCGACGACACCCTTGACGAAGCTGAGCCACTCGGGGATCAGGTCGGTGGCGTCGTCAGTGATGAAGACACGGCGGACGTAGAGCTTGATGTTGTTCTTGGTCTTCTTGGTCTCGAACAGGTCGAAGGGAGCGCGCTTGGGGACGAAGAGGATGGCGCGGAACTCGAGCTGACCCTCAACGGAGAAGTGCTTGACGGCAAGGTGGTCCTCCCAGTCGTTGGAGAGGGACTTGTAGAATGAGGCGTACTCCTCGGTGGTGATGTCCTGAGGGTTGCGAGTCCAGATGGGCTTCTGCTTGTTGAGCTCCTCCTCCTCGATCTTGGACTCCTTGACCTTCTTGGTCTTCTTCTCCTTCTTCTCCTCGTCGTCGTCGACCTCCTCGACCTTGGGCTTGTTATCGTCGCCCTCGGTGGTCTCCTCGGCGGCGTCCTCATCCTCGACCTCCTTCTCGGTCTCCTTCAGGACGTGAAGGTAGATGGGGTATGAGATGAACTCGGAGTGCTTCTTGACGACCTCCTTGATCTTGGACTCGTTGAGGTAGTCCATCTGCTCATCCTTGAGGTGGAGGATGATCTTGGTGCCGCGGCCGATCTGCTCGCCCTCGGTGTCCTCGGTGATCTTGAAGGTGCCACCGGCGCTGGACTCCCAGACGTACTGCTCGTCATCGTTGTTCTTGGAGACGACGGTGACGCGGTCGGCGACGAGGTATGCGGAGTAGAAACCAACACCGAATTGACCAATCATGGAGATGTCGGCACCGGCTGACAGCGCCTCCATGAACTGCTTTGTGCCGGAGCGGGCGATCGTACCCAGGTTGTTGATGAGGTCGGCCTTGGTCATACCGATACCGCTATCTTGGATGGTGAGGGTCTTGGCCTCCTTGTTGGGGATGATGTCGATGCGGAGATCCTTGCCGCTGTCGAGCTTGCTTGGGTCTGAGAGGGCTTCATATCGGATCTTGTCGAGGGCGTCGGAGGCGTTGGAGATGAGTTCTCGCAGGAAGATCTCCTTGTTTGAGTAGACGGTGTTGATGATGAGGCCGAGCAGCTGAGAGATCTCAGCCTGGAACTCGAAGGTCTCCCCAGACATGGTGGCGGTTGTGTGGGTGTTGAGCTGTGAAAGAAGAGTCAGTCTGGGCTCAATGGTACTAGGCTGACGTGACAGGCGGGTGGGCGAGTGTGGGGAAGACGTACAGTTAGGCGGGGTAGTTCGGTTGCTGAGCTCTTCTAATGCGCGTGGGTAAGAGCAAGCAGAGCGACGTCGATGTCTGTGTAGTGGCAGTGGGAGAGAGCAATTCGATGAAGAAAAAGTAGTGGGAGGAGTCGAGTTTGGGGCTGATATAGTCTTTGGTGGAGCTCGAGAATCTTCTAGACAGAGCGGCAGAAACGCAGAGAAGGCCGCGGCTAAGCCAATCACGGTGGGGCGCGCCTTCCAATTGCGCCTCACCGCCAAACGCGCCTTCCCCGGCAACGTCTAGTAGCGAGGGGCAGAACAATCGCGACGTTGTCGATGCACTCACGAATTGCTTGTCCCGCCGGCGACACGCGCATAATTTACTTCTAGAAACCTCGCTTCTATTATTGTCACCGTCTCGATGGAGAGCACGAGCTTCCTCGGCGGCCGTCGCAGCTTCCCCTCACGAGCGCGCGCAGAAGCTCAGAGCATCAGCCTCGCCTGGACAGTCTCAAGCACCTGGGTAGTCTCGTCCAGCCTTGCGCATTGCTGAACTTGCATAGCTGCCTACATGCTCGCTCCGCCACAGCAATCGCTACTGCTGCCTACTCGCAGTGCAGCAAACCACAGCTTGGTCCACAAATCATCGCTGGTGCCTTCGCCCGGCTTCCCAGCAAGCTCCGCGCGCTCACCTTCACCACCCGATACCGCCGCCTTTCACCACGCTCGAATAACAACGTTGGATGCGAGATGTCGGCTGGATGAAGGTGTGATGTAGGAATAACCAGGAGCGCCAAACATGGCTGGACTACAAGAGTGACATGATGTAAAGGTAGGTGCGGAGTCTATTGTCACAAGGACCCCAAGACCCTCAACTGCATTGGAGAACAAGGTAGGAGGGGTTCCCCCTAAATTACGAATACATACCGCCCATCAAAAAGGCTCCGTCTGCCAGAAATCCAAGTTCGTAGGCGCAACCTGACCCAAAAACGTCTCGTCAAACCCAAATCCATAAGAACCAATCAAATCGTACATGTTATACTCGTTCCCCGCCGTCACATCTACACCCTCATCATTGCGCACCGTAGCCGCTTTGACAGGATCAAACACAGTCGTGGCAGCAGGCGAAGCAGCCGGAAAGCCTCCCTGGGTCACAGACCCCGACGGCGTACCCGCAACATCCAGCCGTTTCAACAAATCATTGATGCCCTGGACAATATGCGTCGTGATGTGTTTCTCGTTCAGATTCTCCGCTACTTTCGCTAGGAAAGAAGAAGAGCGCCGCGATAAGGATAGGACTTGGTTGATATTGAAATTGAGGCCTAGGCCGACGGGTTCGGTTGCCCACTCGGGCGATTGCACTTGTGCCATGCCGCCCCAGGTCTTTGCCATTTTCAATAGGAAAGTAGCGCAGAAAGCGACCATGGTGTGCGTGAAGATGGGTACTGCTGTCATGGCCTTGCGCAGATCAGGCTCCTCGAAAATTAGAGTGAGGGTGCTGGTTGCGGCTGTGATGGCGATGTTGGCTGCTTCGCGGCGGTCGTAGGAGAGGGATTCGGATGTGGCTGCGCTGGGCGGAGGGAGAGCACGCAGCGCCAGGGAATTCAGTTGGAATCTGGCGAAGTGGTAGTATAGTACCACGCCTTTCGACGGGTAGGATCCGATGGATGGACTGTCAGCGGATCGGGCTTGCCACGCGAGCCGCCATTGCTCAATGGCGAAGTTGAAGAGGCGGAGTTGTTGGAAGTCGGGTTCCGTCAATGGTTGCTCTGGATCGCTGCCGTAGGCAATGTATGCTTCTGTCAGGATCTTGAACAAAGTGACCTGCGCTCCCAGTCTGATATCTCCCGGTGTCGTTTTCGGACTGTCGAGGAAATTTTCAATGTTCTTGATGGCAATGTCTTCGTGGACGATAGATGGTCGTCCATATGCGATGCTGAACTGCTTGTCGCAGACATACAATGCGTACCATAGACGCACGTTGTCGCGCTGGTCCTCGTGCCCTCGCATCAGCTTCTGGTACGACATATGCAGATTCATCTCGACAGCGTTTCTGACAGCCAGGCCAGCCAACTTCCAGCTCAAATTCGAGAGATAGAAAGCGGCAAGAGCCAGCGCGCGGATATCATCCAGATTCTGAGGCCGAGCGAGAAAGGCACTGTAGACTAATGAAACGAAGATGTTGTAGCACTTCTGCAGTGCTTCGTCTCGGCCAGGCGTGTGTAGTGCTGAGATGGTAAGCACAGCCGCAGTGAGAAGAGTGGACTGGCGACGGACTGCATCCAGAGAGTCATACGGGAAAAGTACACCAGCCCAGAGATAAAGCCGAATGTCCTGCATATACCGTCTGAACAGATCCTCAGCTTCCGGTAACGACACAATGCCTTGAGCTATGAAGTCTTCCTCCACAGAGTTGGAATTGGGCTTCCATCGCACGCTACTCCGAAGGTTCCGGATCCGGGTGAGGTCGTATAAGCTCTTCATGGGCGCTGTCACCAAGCCAGACTCTTCTCCAGACTCGCGTTCGACAGAGGTATCTCTCGTCATATCCATGGGCGGCGGAACAACGAACGTCGCATGTCCACTCTCGGACATGACGTTTGTCGGACTGATGGTCATGGTGCGTCCTGTTGAATGCGGCGGCGTGTCTTGACTAACTGGACTATCCAAGCCGGGCAGTTTGTTGTGCTGCAGCAGACGCTGCACCGCAGAGCGCAACTGCGACAACTCGGCTGTCGCATTTGATTTCCAACTGAAGTACTTAGCGACGGTGAAGAGAGCACGTGTGATATGAACCTACGCCGCATCTTCATCCAAAAGCCGTTGATTCAAATTATAAGGAACGCATTCCGTTCCGCTGCGCAAGCACTTTGCGCATTTCGCTTCATTGTCGACGGGCTCACATTTGATCTTGTGTCTTTTACACTCCGCACCTACAGCAACACATTGTAAGAAAAAAAAGAGAAGCAATGATGAAGTGGGGCGCGTCCATCGACTTACAAGCTCTAATTCTCGGCGTTCGTGGTGCAGGTCGGCGCCCATCCTCATGCTCCGCATCCTCACTCGGACGCTTCAGTGGAGACATATCCAAGGGGCCATGGCCATCGGAGCTGCAAGAGATGGAAATAGTCGGAGATCTTTTCGATTTTACTTGCGGGCTTAGAACACCGTGCTTCCGTTGCTTTCGTGCTCGTGACGTGCTGAGATTATTTGGGAGGCTAGCCAGCCATCCTGAGCGGGATCTGGCGCTTTGCCGCATGCGGTGGCGGGGTGGGGTTGTCAGCTCGAGTCGAGCCGTGTGTGAACTGCGTGTTCCCCACCGGCTTGCGTTCTTGCTATTAACCTCCCTTTCTACCTGGTATAAGAGCCGATGGATAAATCCGGAAAATCTCAGGGGTACGGTGGCTAGTAGTTGTGGCAAGGCGCACGCTTGTAGAAAGCGACGTAGACCTCGGGGTGCCTTGAAGACGATTTCACAGTTTGACTCAGCTTCACCTAGCTCATCCACGTATATCGTACGAACACTCTTTTTGCCATTGCCTACCTACAATGATCTCAATGGTGAGGTTCGAAGAAGCTGGCATTTATGATATCACCAGCCTCGTCAACAGAATCCTAACCCATGTCACCACCACCAGAATCATCTTCGTCATCGTCGAAGAAGCCAACCATATGAGCCATACTATCAAGGTAATGCTGTGGCCCGTGCATTTGTAGCTGGAGGCGTACAGTCCTGTGAATCACAGAACCATTGTGGCTGAGTTGATCACGTTGGGGGTTAGGAATGGCTTCGTCGGCTCCAGTTCTTACCGTTTGCCCAAACATGTCGTCAGAAATATGTGGACCGGCAGTGGAAGGAGCCTGCACACCTTCCCTCGCTCCAACCGGGACAATGCTACGGTTCACAGGCGTGATCATTATATTCTCGGCGATGCTGTTGGCCAAATCTATATCTTCGCGCGTGATGTAACCTGCGGCCAGCCCTTCCGCAAGGTCGCGAGCATCCAGGTAGCAGTCGATCGTAACTTCGTTCGCAAGCTCCGATGTACGTCTCTGCACAGTCTCGATCGCACTTTCAAGCAGATTGCCCACGAGTGGACCGATTGTAATGACCTGATGCGGAGTGAGCATTGAGATGAATGCCTCGTTTCGTGCCCCGGTAATGAAGTTCAAATCATCAGCTGAAAGACGTCCTAGGTGGACGGTACCGTGTGCATGCGGGTCATGGCCTGGGAATGTAGTATACGTAGGAAGATTGACGGGCTCCTGGGGTACACGTACGCCACCGTAGCAAAGTGTACGATCGATAGGGCAAGTGTTTAGATGAGGGTTACCGGACTTCCACCATGACTCGATGCAAGTTCGGTGGAAGAAGTGTTTGTCGCCACAGACCTTGGTGATAACGGCTTCCATCCCAGCCTGGTGATTCGTGTCGGGTGTATGTTCATCTGTTGAATCGTAGACAGGAGGCACGTCCTCTAATGACTCCTGGCAGATAGCACACTTCTCGCCAGAGGGCGAATAGCGAGCTTCGAGAGCGGTGGACAGCGTGAGGGTGTGTGGGCTGACCGTCATTGTTTTGCGTTGGGACTTTGTGATGGGCTGCGCTGATCAGGAGAAGAAACATGATCTTGTTCACACCCCACCGGGAAGGCTGTATTGTGAACGAAGTAACGTGAGTTGCGATCCGCCACATAGTATTCACCTACCGCTTTCTGTTATTTCACACTGTCTGACCGGTCTTTAGTGGAGGTCATCTTGTTCGATCATCGAGCAATGTGGATTGGGCGAATATGGAGTGGTATGGACGCACGATAATTATCGCTTGAATAGGTCAACTGATTGCTGTATGTAAAAGGCGCCGAGAAAAGAAGGTATATGCTCCTTCTCCGGTGCACCACAATGCAAAAGGAGATGATATGATTCAGTACGAGGTTGAGAACTGTGCCGCTTGCTCAGGTTCTGTGGGTGAAAGAAAAGGAAGCTATTTGCTCCAAATTTTTCTGAGAAATAAAATGTTGAACGAAAGTGGTGTGAACCTGGCGCAGCTGACCGTAAGCGCGACAGCCTTTGGAAGCTATCACGCTAGCGTGCTTAGTCATCGGCGCGTCTCTCGTTCGGCAGGCGTCATCCGGCACCAGCCCTCCTTCATCGAACGCAATCGGGGTGCAACTCATGAACATGCTCCTCCCTACCCAGCTCTGGTACTGTCACAATGTCCTCTAGTTCGCTATCCCCGTGTTTGGCTGGCAACTCATGAAAGGTCACACTTGTCAGCTCCGGAGCTGGATCTGGCGCGTCGTGAGCCCCCTTCTCTTCTACCAGCACCGTGCTCTGCTTCCGCATTCTTCTAGGTTTCCATACAAAAACCCATGCGCATAGGATGCAGAGTACGATCGCTGCTACGCAGCCCACGACGATCCCAGCTATCGCACCACCAGAGATGCCCTGCCCGCGGGCTACCTCGGAATCACGGTCAGCAGCTGGGATAGTTACTATATCAGCTTCCCCATCATCCCATCTCGCCGCGCTGACGTTGAATATGCCATTTTCGAAGTCAACGCCGATGTAAGCTTCTTGTAGGAACGCCCTACCAATGGCGTACTGGCTCTCATTATCAGCTCTTCGAATCGGGAAATAGTTCGTCGCATTCGCAAAGATTGGATACCCTGCCTGCAGATCGAAAGCCGCATATGGGATTTGAATCAAAGTAGTGTTGCCACCCGTGAAGGCGTTGGTACCAATAGTGAACGTCAAGGTGGGATTGAGTCCCCGAAGTCGATCCCTGGCCGAATCCCTGAGGACGTATCTGCCCGACCTCTCATGATACTCCAGACCGAATACGGACTCAAAGCGATCGCAGACAGACTTCGGAAGCCATATCTCTGGGATGGACGAATCGATCGGAGCAAGGATTCGCTCATTGTCAACCAGCGAAAGTGTTCCGTTCAATGAATCGGTTACTATGATATCCTGGAGACCGACTGTAAGAGCTCTGGACATGTCGGTGTTGATGTCGATTGTCAAGGGCTCTGATGCACGTGCAAGATCATAGCCTCCAAGAACGAGGCTGGCGGCTATCTTCGTTTTGCGATACGGGGCGCCAGCCTGATATCCATACGTCAGACTGGGTATATGACCATCATCCTTGAGAGCCGAGATCAAAGATGGCGAGCTGATTGTCTCTGAGAAGTTTAGTGACAGCGGCGACAGTCCCATCTGTCCGATCCAGAAGCCGGGCGAGGCATACGCGGTGACCGCCAGATGTTCCAATGTGAAGTTATACAGCGCAACACTATCAAACCCATGGAGGCCGTTCCCGGTGATTCCGTGGATCCTTCCCATTCCGAGTTCATAAAGACCAATGGCTTCCCAGGTCGACGACATGTTCGCTTGGAACCCAGGACTTGGACTTTGTTGGAACGGAGATGCACCGCGAGAGCTGCCGCACGAGGCTGATCCGCCTTGCAGTCTGACACACTCATCGGAAATCGGAAGCCAGATGTTCTGAGCCTGAGTCGCCGGTAGCACATTAAACGTTTGCGGTGGCGTCCCTACTTGAACCAGGAACCTATTATTGTCAGCTCAGGCCTGGATACATGTAAAACAAATTGCGGAAGACGTACGTTGACCAGCTTCCGTCGTTACCAAACCAGCCCCCTGACGCAGCGAGCGATAGTGCTTCCGCCATCTTTTCAAAGTCTCCAGGCTGTAAAGGATAATGGTATTTTGCAGGTGGCGGCGATTGAGAATAACAACAGAACTGCAATTCTCCGCATGCGTCGATGCGCCTATACTTGATTACTACCGGAGTTCTGCGGCTGGTCTCGCCCTTCTCCACAACCAGACATTCGATGATATGGTTGGTGGGCTATGTAAAGCCTTACACCATGTATCCTGCAGAGAAAATCAAAGTTTATCGTATTTCGCCGGATTAAGGCATTGGAGTACACTCTAGCCAACCACGACGGTCGTGCCCAGACCATGGTTGGGGGCCGGTCGCAAGGCTGAAAAATGCTGGCTGGTCGCCCACCGATCAGCTCACGCCATAGAAGATATCGTATCTAGCCGGCTCTCTTCGACCACTCGTCCTCATTTTGTCTAAGGCGTTGCTTGTAGGTTGATACATACATCGACAATCCCCAAGATCTCGTATATTTCAACATGTGGTGGTCCCTCGCGAACACAGAGTTACTGTGCCGGATGAGAGTGGTTGCACTTGCTGTTTTGCTCTTTTCAGGTAGCTTTCTGGCTAGAAATACATGATATAGACTAATGAGATACAGGTCCTGGCGTCGCGGTAAACTTTGCTCGTTCTTTGACACCAACATCGGAATGTCCCGCGTTCATTACTAGTCTCACCTACGTGTCGACTGTCACCTCAACCCCGACCGAATTTGCTACCCCTCCTCCAAACGTAGTTACTGTAACCGCTTCCATAATTGTCCACATCACCCCTTTCAAAAACGGCACAACATCGACCAGAACCGAGGTAGTGGGAGTTACATCCAACCAGGCAGTGCCAATTACATCCGATGAGGGAACGAGACTTACATCTGATTCAGCCCTTGAAAAAAGGGCGGCGAAGGCCGCTGCGACGACTTTCACGTAGGTTCACCATGCTTGGACTAGCAGCATGCTCATCTTTCGCAGGACAAATCGTTATCTGAATAGCTCTATCGCGATGATGACAACTCGAACAGAGCCACGGACTGACTGCCCAAATACTACCCAGACGACAATATTCACCAGCGTCGTGACGATAGTGCTGCCGGGAGCACCGCAATCGAGTGCTGAACCTCCATTCACCGAGACCGTTATAACTGCTTCAACACTGTTCGATTATGGTCAACTTGATCCGGCCGTCTTGGAGCCCACCATTTCAGAATCCAGGTAAGCAGCAAGTTCATGTTAGTAACACTGCCAGCTGACCAGATCGAAGTACGTCTACAGTAGTATTGGCTCCCCGGCCCACAATCATCAGAACTACAACCCCGGAAAATCTCCAGACTAGTACGACTGACCAACCAACTATTCCTGCATTGCCTCAAAATACTCTTCCAGGTCGTCCGACAGCAACAGGTCCTGTGCCACCTCCGGTTATACCCCCTTCATTACCCATTAACCCTCCGGCTTCCACGGTAATCTCTCGTCCAGACGAAATGCAGACTACAGTCTTACCTGGTGTTGGCCCCATTGTGATTGACCCATCACGCTCGGCTATCACAGTAAGCGATGCTACAGGAGTAATCACACCTGGACAACAGACTACCATAAACGACGTTGCAATCTCATTCGATACTTCCGCTTCGTTCGTTGTCATAGGCGGCACTACGACGTTGGAGCTTCTTCCGCCGACCTCGGCAACTCGAACAGCACCCGCAATAATCGGCGGGACGACCGTTGACATTGGTCAGGTCGCTACACAGCTCGACCCAGGCGAAGTGACTACCATAAATGACATTCCCATCTCACGAGACACTTCGGCTTCGTTCGTGGTCATTGGAGGCACACAAACCATTCCGCTTCAGGGAACTACTCGACTGCCGGGTCCATCTGTAGTGACCATAGATGGGGCGACTGTCACCGTCAGCGAGCTTGCTTCTGAACTTGAGCCTGGCGAGGTGACTGTCGTCGGTACCTTGACTATCTCACGCGACCCTTCCGCTTTGATTGCCGGTACCACAACGATAGCGATCAATGCAGCAGCAAGCAGCGTGGTCCTTGGGGGCACAACGATTGCTCCGGGTGCTCTTCCTCCTGGATTCGCTTTCATTCCCGCAACCGATGGGGGAGGCTTATTGCTGCCGAACAGTCAAACCTTGATGCCGGGCGCCATGACGACTGTCAATGGTATCGAGGTTTCACTCACTCCTGGAGAAACACCCGTGGTTGTAGTCGAGGGGTCGATGTCCATCACCGCATCTGTTACCGCGGATGGCAACGACGGCAACTCTATCAACCGCGGTAGCGGCGGGTTCGGGCAGCCAACGAGCACCACTACAGGTGTTCTAGCGGATTTCACTGGTGGTGCGATTGCGAGCGTTCATGGTGTTTGGGACGCGCTGTGCACATTGGCTATGACAAGCTTGTTTTTCGGTCTGGTGCAACGTTTGTTTTGATTTTGGACATTAATATTTGGTATACACTCAAGCTGGAAGTCTGGAGCTCGCATGCTTCTCCTAATGAATATCCAGTCATGGCATGACTTCCGCAGTTGGGTGATGCGTACGTGCCCATTGAGGCTGTTGATGATGACGTAATTACGGGGTCTAACTTCCCGTGTTCAGCTCGCAAGGTCTGCCTAATTGGTCCTGCCTCAGCCTCTCGCGAACGCATGCGCATCCTTCGCAGGCGCAATGCTTACCACTAAGACGACTTTGGCATCATTGAGGACTGGTATACACGAATGCACTCATGCGATGCCTCCACCAGGGCGTAAGCCGCTCTTCGACGATGGAGTACTTACTGGTGTCGCCCCTGCTTTGGATGGCCAGAATAGTGCACTCCATATCCTCTCCTTGACACCATGACCACGCAGCTTCACCTAGAAGATGAAGCCTCTATATCGGAGACCAACGCGCAGCATGCAATGCTTCAACAAGCACAAGCTGCTGCTTCTGCCGTCCAGACTGAAACCGCAGGATCAACGAGACATGACGCTCCCTTACAAACGACTGACCTCGTCACTCCCGATGCGACCGACGAGGAAGTTCCGCCTCCCCCATATGGCGAAATCTATGGCGAGATCCGGAACGAAAAAGACGGCCTAGGCACCAGCGCAAGCGTCACCGAAGACGGCCGTGTCAACATCCGCATCAACCAGCTCAACCGACGTTTATCTCAAGTCTTTACCCCAACTTTACGTGAACACGTTCAGAATGTTCAAGACAGCAGCCCGCCTCTTCCTGCATACATCCCACCTTCATTAGGAGGTAAAGAAGGAGTCCCACCCCCAGCCCTAAATGTGGTTATCCAGGTTGTCGGCTCGCGCGGAGACGTGCAACCTTTTGTTGCTCTCGGGAAAGTCTTGAAAGAGACCTATGGCCATCGTGTACGTCTGGCAACTCATCCTACTTTCAAGAAGTTTGTGCAAGAGAACGGTCTTGAGTTTTTCAGCATCGGCGGCGACCCTTCTCAGCTGATGGCTTTCATGGTCAAAAATCCTGGACTGATGCCCGGTTTCCGCAGTCTAGCAAGTGGAGATGTCGGCCGTCGAAGAAGAGATGTCGCGGAATACATTCAAGGCTGCTGGCGATCGTGCTACGAAACGGGTGATGGGATGTCCGACGACCACGGTTCAGATCGCTCCGCAAACGACGCCGGTTCTTTCCCCTTCGTCGCGGATTGTATCATTGCCAATCCCCCAAGCTTTGCACACATTCATTGCGCAGAGAAGTTGGGAATACCCCTTCATATCATGTTCACCATGCCATATTCTCCCACCCAGGCCTTCCCTCACCCTCTGGCGAACATTCAATCTTCCAATGCTGATACTCAACTCACCAACTACATCAGCTACGCTATGATCGAAGCCCTCTCATGGCAAGGCTTGGGCGACATCATCAACCGGTTTCGCGCTAAGTGCCTCGGCTTAGAGCCCGTGAGTATGATCTGGGCCCCAGGAATGCTTCAGCGCCTCAAAGTTCCTCATACATACTGCTGGTCTCCAGCTCTTATTCCGAAACCAAAAGATTGGGGCTCTCACATATCCATCTCTGGTTTCTACTTCTTGAATTTGGCCTCTAATTATACCCCTACGCCTGAGCTGCAAAAGTTCCTTGACGATGGACCACCGCCGGTGTACATTGGATTCGGAAGTATCGTTTTGGACGATCCGAATGCCATGACCGAACTAATCTTCGAGGCCACGAAAAAGATTGCAGGCGGAAGACGTGTACTGCTTTCTAAGGGTTGGGGAGGTATGGGTGCGGAAGAACTTCGCGTTCCTGAGAACGTCTTCATGTTAGGCAATGTGCCGCATGACTGGCTTTTCAAGCACGTCGAATGCGTCGTTCATCATGGTGGTGCAGGGACTACAGCGGCAGGCATCGCAGCAGGTGAGTTATGTGCCTACTGAGCAACCGACCAACAAGAAGCTGACCTGTTGACTTTACTTCAGGCCGACCTACGTTAGTCATACCTTTTTTCGGCGATCAACCTTTCTGGGGCGCAATGATCGCGCGAGCTGGTGCCGGCCCCGATCCAATTCCTTACCGACAACTCACATCGGACACACTAGCAGATGCCATCAACTTTTGCTTGAAGCCCGAAAGTCTCGAGCGTGCCAAAGACCTTGCAAGTAAGATCGCTACGGAACGAGGTTGCGACATGGGCGCTCAGTCATTCCACCAGTATCTCGATCCCGACCGACTTCGTTGCACCCTCGCACCATCTCGAGTAGCCGTGTGGCGCATCAAGCGCACTCAAATCAGACTGAGCGCTTTTGCCGCCTGCACATTGGCCAATGCCGGTGTTTTGGATTTCCATGACCTCAAACTCTTTAGGGCGCAAGATTATGAGACTGATGAGGGTCCTCTGGAGCCTATCTCTGGATTTGGTATGGGGATACTGAGAACCTTGGGCAGTATGAGTATGGGAATAGCTGAAATGCCTTCAGAGACGGCGAAGGCAGTTCAAGCTCCATTTGTACCTAGTAGACAGCAGTCTGACACTTCAGTACGGAACGCCGCAAAGAGGAGCGAGCCGTCGCTATTAGGAGAGAGCTCCACTTCATCAAGCTCACAACAACACCCCCATTCCAGTGCAATGGAGCGGAAACCGCTTGCTCGCTCTCAGACCACCCCCAACCTCCCCACTCCAGCATCTCGGACTCCCAGCGTAGCATCCA